CCTCTTTAGTGAGATATATGGCTTCATAATTAGCCCGTTGCATTTTTTCACGAGTGCTAGCATCAGCGTTCTATGATGTGTTCCTCTGATTAACAGCTGCTTTGCAACTATTTCCTTGTGCCGCCGATGACCATATTTGTCAAGGAACTCCTGACAGAGTACTGATTTCTTACTAAAATGCAGTGTTTCCATTTGAAGAGGGTTCTCTCATTCTAGGCACTGCCCGGCTTTCCCAGTCACTTCTTGTAAAACCTCGAGCTGGCTTTGGTCTAACGCTTGTTAACAGGATTCGGGGTATCTATCTACTTTAGAGTATGCGCATAGGAACCTCTCACAGGCAATTTAATCTTCTGAGCCGTGCACGTGTGGCGCTGCAGTGTTGGAATGGGGTTTCAAGCCCGCCTGTCGGTCATTTTCTCTTGCCCTCTAGTTGTGATTTCTCTGGGTGAAAAAGGACTTGGCTTTGGTTGTTAGTGTCATTAATTTCTGACTGTTTTTAACATTTTAAAACGGCTAATGAATGCTCACATTTTTAGGAGATAGATGTGCGTGTTGCACACAGGAGTGCAGAAGTTGGTGACATTCCAAGTAAGTGTCACCGGAGACAGTGCATCAGGTTCACGTGTTAGGTGCAGAGTGCTCAGGCTCCCTCCAACCCCAGGTTCATTGTTAGGCAAGCTCTGTTCTCCCCCCCTTGTGCAGAAAAGATCACGTGCGTTCTGAAGATGATAGTGTGCAGATCTTTTGTAGGAGAGTGGAAAGCATCTAGGAAGCGTTGCTTCAGTGAGGACTGTCAGGATCCTCGCTGCTTCTCATCAGGGATTACTTACCCTACACAACGCATTTAACAGCACATAGTTCATTGTAGATAGCCCCTGAGTATACTGTATTCCATTGATTTATACAGTTACAAATCCTGGTCTCTCACACACAAATCTCTCTCAATTGGCCAATCATCTTGGATCCAAAGGTGTTTTTTAATCTGAAGTCCCCTCTTTTTCCCTGGGCTGCTGGCAGTCACTCCGGTGGACCCACTGCCAAGGCAAGAATTTGCTCCTCCTCTTTGCAGCGAGGTTTTATCTCTAGCTTTAAGTGATGAATAGAGTAAAATCATCAGACTTTCCTAAAATTGCAGAGTCGATGGTGACAGGATGGTTTTATTTTCACTTTTTGAGGGAGGGAGGGTGAGACACAGAGCATCGGGTTACAGGAATGGGGTGACAGAAACTTTGCTTCTGTTTCCTTCTGAGTTTGTCGTCTTTGTTTTTATGAGACCAGCTACTGGTAATTGCCTTGTGCTCATTAAGAATGCTCGGGGTGCAAGAGAAGGGGAAAGGAGGGCCAGTTCTGTGTCTCCAAGGGACTCAGCAGTAAGTGGTCTCCATGAGGCCATTGGAGCTTTTCACCAGGATTCTCCCTGGCTTGCTGCACTCCTGCACCAGGCGCAGTAACGTTCCCGCCTCCGTTTTACATCAGTGACATTGAGGCGGAAGGTTTGGCCTGAATTTATGTAATTTAGTTGGGCACAAATACAACCCATGAATAGTCACATTCATCTCCTAATTAGAAAATCAGACGATAATACAGGACAGGCTGCAGGCACCCCGTCATTTCATCCGACAAAAGGGTGTTGTGTCTGTCCGACCTCCGCCAAGGGAAGAGCCCTTGAACTGCTCTGTGAAGTTAATGAAAAGTGTCCAACAATAGTTGAATGAAAGATGCAAACTGAGGACAGCGTCCGTTATTAGGTGTGTTCAAACCTTTGCGTTATGGGGAAAGGTTTGGAGAAATCTTCTGCCATCTATGTGTGAATCATAGGGCTTGTAAAATTCTATGTTGGACGGGCTCTCTCCCACCTTGTTGAAGTGCCAGGTCCTTATGAGGAGAGAGAAGAGTAAAGAGCAGCTGAAGAAATAGCTCGTGAAAGGAGAGGTGTTCTCATATGTCCAGCTTACATGGATGGAGCTGCTTATCTGGGTATCTTTCTTCTACAGCCCATTATGTTGAAGCTGTTAGTTTGGATGCTTTATATTTTTGCATCTGGCATAGTGATACCGGTGCTGTTAAATATGCGATTTGCCTGTCGCCTGCATTTTCCTACAAAGATCAAGAGGGACATAAACAAGCCCCAGATATACTTTATGTAGGTGTTTGGCAGTATTATTTTATATGGCTTGGAACTAGTGAATGGGAACTTTAAAAGAAATTGTTCATATTTTTTGCAAGTTTGAAGTGTGCTGGGACTTTGTCAAATTCCCGTTAAAATAAATACGTCAATTTCACCTCCCTTCCAAATTCATTTATCTTGCTTTTTTAAAAGGTGTTTTCTACTTTACCTGATGTTTAAATTGGATTCGCCCGTTTATGCTGTTCTTTGCTATATCCCCCACGTTTTTCTTAAATGAATTACTAATGACAGAGCACTCCATCATTCCCTCTCTGCAGCCACTTTAAGGAAAGCATGGTGATCTAAACCTTTTAACCTATTAAAGATGATTTTCCCCAATTGAATCAGACCCACCACAGGTGTAATAACTAATCATTTAAACTACACCTGCTATTATGTATTTTTAAGCCATTATGCGTGTTGGATAGATGATAATTCATGTTTATTGCATTGTCCGATGGATCCGTTTTGCCTACACCAGGCTGATTAATGTATTTAAAGAAATAAGAGATGCAATTTTTAAAAAAAAAAATTGATGGAATGCGCCAAGCACTGCATTGAGTGCACCATTAAACCCATCAGAACTTTGCTCTCTGACCAGAAATGCATATACCAAGGACTGTATTAAAAAAGCAAGGTGAAACCTGTGCGTTTTAGTGGTGGGATTCTGTTATCTTTCTCTGTCATGGAAAATTTTGGAAGGATGAAGGAAAGGTTTATGCTTCTACCAGTGAACGTCAGGAGCTGTGCCGTTGGCATTTCTGGCTTAAGACCCGCCTGGCCACAGTTCCTCTGACACCTGGGATCCGTCCCAGGGTGTGTGGAACCTATCATATATACAAATGCTGTCCTTGTCTTGTATGTTGAAGGTGTATTTTTTCTCCAGGTGAAGAGCAATTAACCCTGAGGCACCTGATCTGGGCAGATGGGCCTTGAGCCTGTGGGGCCTGGGATGGTGCAACTGTCCACCGATTCCAAGGCCAGCCTCTCCTCCTGTTTTTCTCCTTCGTCACTTTCCCCTGGCTCTTAGCTGCTTTCCTTTTCTTTTTGCCTTCTTTTCTGTTCGATCTCCTCTGCTCATCCATCACCCTCTCCTCTTCCTTGTCTCCCACTTTCACTCCATTTCCTTTCCCTTTTCTCTCTTCTTTCTTCCCCTGTCCCATTTCTTCATAAGAATGCAACCATTTTGTTGATGCTTATCAGATTTTTCTCTATTTGGATGCAACCTGAGGGGCTTGGGAGTGAGTATGTAGTTTTGGGGTTCTAGAATCCTGAGCATCGATTTCTCTTTTGTCCAGGACCGATTGGTTATCACTGCAGTTCATGATGGTAGTTAAAGTGTTCACAGTGTTGGACAGATTATAATCATTCCCAAGGAATGCTCCTGTGTCTTATCGCTGACAGTCCCAAATTTGGGAGTCGGGGATACCTGAGTTCGTCCTTGGGGTAGAGTGTCTGACGCAAGCCTCCCATGGAGGGATCACAGGGGAAATACATCAGGGGTTTGCCCTGAAAATTTTTTTTTTTCTTTCTGATTTATCCTCATATCTTTTGTTACCAGAGAGGTGTGTCTGGTCTCATGATGAAGTTCATATAAAATATGAAGAAGATATTTGTAGCTTGTATTCCATTTGTAGTCATAGTACTTTCTGTTTGAATCTCTGTTCAATTGCTGCCTTAGTTTGAAAAATCTTAGAAAACTTCCTTACATTTGGCCCTTTAAAAATTTTTTCTTTCAACAACATATGAGCAAATTTCAGGGTCTGTTGACTTTACCTGTACCTGGAAACTAAATGATTCTTTTGGTTCTGAGGAGATCAGTAATGCCAGTCATTTACAGTGGCCCCTCTCCTGTGGGGCAGGTTGGCATTTCCCCCATCAGGTGTGTGTCGGGGTGGAGAGCAGACAGGCGGTGTGCAGGCGCACGCTTCGTGTGCGCTGAGCGACGTGAAGGTTAGTACCACCCGTAGTTTTCCTTCTACCCCCTGCTTGGCTCATTCATAGATGGGTAGATTTCTTTAAATAATATTATTTCCAGAGGTAGGTAGATAATCTTTTAGTCTGTCAGCTCTTAGCCATGAAACCCTAAACTTTGTCCTTTGAAGGCTCTTTAGAATTCGGCTCCATTGCATAAGAGGGACCAGTGTGAGTGTTGGTGACTTATGTAAGTCTTCCCAGCCGGTGGGTGCTCACTGCCTTGCCTGGCTCTGTAGAGGCAGCCTGGTCTCTTCCCTTCAGTTGCTAGCAGTGTGGCTTGAGAGGCAGCCTGAACATTAGAAGACAGTAGACCTGTGTCTTCAGCTATATGGCACTCACCATCTGCACCAAAGAATTGAAGAGAATGGGGAGATCAGAGATGGCTTGCTTGTTCAGGGAAGACTTCGAGGAGTTAGAGCAGCCTATAGCAGGCCTGGGCTGCTGCTGCGTGTGCAGTGTTTACATTGGTAGAGGCTGGAAGGTAAGGCCTTCTAGAAAAAAGGGCGTAGCATGGACACAAATGGAGCGACATGGGTAAGTGTGGCCAGGGAGGGCTCCCTGCTGAGGAGTGTGAAGAATCAGCTTGAACTGGGAGAACAGGAAATGATTATTGCAGGTCTTAAAAGCTGGGCCGAGGGGATTAGATTTGATAGAACCAGATAGAGGAAGCCAGTGATGGTAGGCGACCAACAGAGTCTTTTATTTAAGCAGATTTTACATGCGAGAAATAACTGGTTAGTTTGACCCCAGTATTGCGCTTATTTCTATGGACCTGGGATAAACGTGTAGGATTCTTAATCTTATAATGTAGACTGTTGACGTTTCCTGCTCTTCTTTGTTTTATCTCCCCTACCAGATTGCCACAGCAGTGAAGTTTCTACAGAATTCTCGGGTCCGCCAGAGCCCACTTGCAACCAGGAGAGCGTTCCTTAAGAAGAAAGGTACAGGTTCCCCATGCCTGTGCACAGTGGCCTACAGAGGGGCTGGGACAGGGTGGATGGAAGCTGCCGTATTAATGACTGATCTCTTATAACTGCCCCACTGGTGTGGGAGTGGGGGTGAGGGAGGCCCCCAGTGGGAACGCATGCTTCTTTTCTTACAATAGAGCAGAGATGCTAGGATTCAGATAATTGAGCGCTAGATGTAAGGCCAACAACTTGGCCCAGGGCAGCCTGGCATCAGCTGTGTTCAGCAGCAGAAGAGGCCCGGAGAGAAGACCGGGGAGGACTCCTGCCCTCTGACCTGTTCTTCTGATCGTGGCCCTGGCTACAGAAAGACTGGCCTTAGATTATGAAGTCAGCTGCTTCAGTAAAGAATGAGGAAGAAAGAGATGAATGAAGGATGAGGGAAATGAGATGACTAAACAAGGTCAGGTTAAGGTCAAGTCTGGGGTCAGTCTGATTTACAGATTGAAGTGGTAAATTACTAGTTTTATGGTATTTCTGTAAGCAGGGATTAAATGGATCTTGACAAATTCAATATTGTATGAAGCAGACAGAATCTCTTTTGGTTTTATTGAAATTTAAGATATGTTTCTTTTTTTGTGAAGTATATATTTAAAAAAGTATCAAACAAAGAAATTTGATTTTTTGCATTCTTTCCATTCTTTGCATGTCTAATTTTCTGGAAAGCTAGGAAGTTGTTTAAAGGCCCTTAAACACCATGCGTGAGGGGAAGTGAGTTAACTCTGCTCTCCCTGCCCACCCCCCCCGCCCCCCCCCCCCAAACAAGACTCTTTTTCTTTAAGGAACTGGAATGTTGGTCTCAAAATTCTGGGTTTTGAGCTTTAAGTCATTAGTGGCTGAAATGGAAGAGGGTGTGGCTTGGTGGTGTTTCCTAGGTCTGCTTCATGGTATCCCACTGAAGTGATGCTTCAGTTCAGAGGACCATGTAAAACTGGGTCCCAGGGCTGCGCTGGCAGAGTTAGGGTAGGATCAGCCCAAGCGTTTCATTCACAGGCAGCTGTTTAGAGGCACCCTCAGGGCTGATCCCTGTCTGTTATTGAGTTGATGAGGGGCACTTACTGGCGGCATCCCGGTTCCCCCCACCCCCAACAGGAGGAGATTATTAAAATTTGGAGTGCACTGGCTGGCCCTTCCACTCCACAGCCATCATGCTGTAAAAGAGTTTTTCCTTGAAATATTTGTACCTATGGGGAGTAATTAATCATAAAAGCTCAGGGGTTTCAGCTCTCTCATCAAAGCATTGAAGCTGGGGAAAGCTGAGCCTAAAAGCTGTGCTGATTACCCGGGGTAACCTGAGACAAAATCCATAGTTGCCAAGAGATCCTTCGCCCCAGTATATTGTGCAATATTATAACTGCCTGATCTTCTCCTCCACTGACAATGACCAGTTATTCCTCATTTTCTCTCAAACGCAGCTGGGTTAGAATTTCATTTGCAGAAGGTATTTAGAGCAATTTAGAGACAAATGTCTCTGGTGTTTGCTTGGCACTTCCCCACTGCAGGCTTTGCTGAGCAGTTTGAGTATCAGGAGCTCCATCTAATCTGTTTAATTTTAATAAATCCCTGACTGGGAGAGGAAGAGAAAAAAGAGAGAGAAACTCTGGGCCAAATAATACTTCTTTTGACTTGGTCGGCTAATAATTACTGTAGAAAACTGTCCTGTACAACTATCATTTGTTGCTCCTTTAAAAACCAGCGACCATCAGTTAATTAATTCAGCTCAGAGTGTTTGCCCTGTGCTGAGAACAGAACAGACGAAACTCCTGCACTCTAAGAGCTTGAGTTCTACCAGGGGAAGGCAGACAGTGAAAGAAAACACAAAACACAGTTTATCAGATGGCAGGTTCTATGGAGAGGAGTGCCTGGGTGGTGGGCTGGAAGGAGTCGGTTCTGTGTGGGAATGGATTGTGCTTCTCAGTGGGGTGATTAGCAGGTGTCCCTCGGGGAGGGTGACATGTGAGCGAAGACCTGGAGGAGATGAATATTTGTTGGTACAGAGCGGGTGGAATTCCTTCTTGATCCTGAATGTGGTTTAGAGTTTTTAGAATGCTAGGCAGCAGGAAACCAGAGAGGCATCCTACCTTTCTTCTAAAGAGAGTTTACCCCGCACTTAAACCTGGAGTCCGTGGACTTAATCACCCACCTCCATTATCGTCTAAAACACTGCTTCAGTCAGTAATTATCTATTTCCGAGTTGAATCCCAATAGAGTAAGTTCTGGCAGGACCTTTTCTGGGCAGAGAATTCCAAGGTTTGATGGGCATCTGGGGAAGAAGAGCCCTCTGTGGATTTAAACTTCACTTTTCACATTTCTCGTTCTCAGGGTCAGGTGTACACAGATCACGTTCACGAAGCTTGATACCATCTCCGATGGGCTGAGGGACGAGGGGATCTTATAAAGCAGTGAGCCTGTGCCCTGTCCCTAACAGTAGTTGAGAAGGAAAGGGAGTTGGCTCTGTGGTCTTCGGGGGCGGGGAGTGTGTCTGGAGGGGAGGGACCAAGGCCCTGGCGTCCTCCAGTCCTATCTCCCACAGGACTCGCTGCAGTGGAGGGTTGGAGCAGTGGGTTTGGGGAGCTCACAGCTACTGTAGTCTTGGCTTTTCTAGCAAATGTCACTTCAGGGAATTGCAGTGGAGCCCTGTCTTGAATTATAATCTTGACTTTCTCTTTTTTTAATAAACATCTCTTTCCCGAAAAGGCAAATCCAATTTTGTTTTTCTTTTAATATTATTTAATATTTAATATAGAAATTGAGGTCCCTGTAGTGCATGTCACTTCAGTGGAAAATGAGGGTTACTTTAAAAACATCAGCTGAGTTTGTTTTATTGTGAAGCTGCAGCCCTGAGTAGGAGCCTGGTCCCACCTCTGTAACTGACAGGTTAACCTGTGCCCTCTGATTTCAGGGCTGGGGAGGCCGGGGGAGCTGATGGCGTAGGGTTTGCAAGGGTCTTTTGTGGTTTTGTTTGTTTGTTTTTTGTTTCTTTGAGATCTCTTTTGGATGCTTCAGAGTCTGAACATGGAGTCATTAATGAGAAACATGAAGTTATTAGAATCATTTATCATTTTCTTTGAAGCTTGTGCTGCCAGTTTGTGTAATTTACAACATTTCTTTCTTTTATCGGGAATTTTTTTGGATGCAAAAGAAAAGCAGCTGTTCACCTTCAGAGTATTGGAATAAATGTTTTTGTTTCCCATCCAACCACTTGATTCTGCAGATGACATCAATTGCAGAGTCAGCCACACATGAAGATAATTGGACTGTGTGTGGGGTTTAAGCCCTCATAGAAGGAACGGGTCTATATATAGAAGCAGTTCTTGCCAGGCAGGCATCAGTATCTGGGGCTTTAAGCAGGCTACAGTCCAGGAGGTTAGAGTAACTTAAAAACAGCAGTTGGATCAGTCCAGAAAGTTAGAGGCTTGGATGCTGTCATCAATAAGCTTATGTTGATCTGACACCCTGTCCAACCACAAAATGTAGGAGGCAGTCTGCTTCCAAACATGCTTGGCAGGCTGAGTATAAGGTGGGTAAGAGAGAGGAGCCTGTTAATGGACGGTAAAGGGGTAGATGAGATGGGGGGAAGTAGACTTCTTTGTTAGCTTTCTCTCATATATCTGCCGCGAGACAGAGTTCTAGAAAAGAGATGAGCGTTGTCGGCTTTCCCATGTGATTTTGCATGGTGGGGCCTGGGTGGTGCTGACTGACCCTTTGGCTTACTGTTGTCCTTCTCAAGTGTATAAATCAAGGACTATATTCTCCTTCATCTAATAAATAGAAGAGGGCTGGGGGAGGGTGAAGGAGAATGAATCAAATAAAACACACTACCATGCTTCCTCATTCTAAAAGGTGAAACAAGATCTTATCTCTCCCCTGTTCCTGGAAGCGGAACCCCCAGTAGCACAACTGCCTCCTTGCTGGAAATGAACTTGAGGAAGAAACCTGCCGGTCTCAACCTTGGTAGTGGGGTAGAGGTGAAGGGCTTCTCTCACTCCAGTATTTTAAGGGGGAGTGTATTCTTACACAGATTTCAATTTAACTCTCTTTTATGACTTTTCTTTTTTATCATTTACGTCCATTTCATGAGGTAGTTTGCATGTCCTTGAATGGAATCTCGTTACCATGAAAGCTTTTTTAGCATTGATTTCATAACAGTCTTAATTTAATAGCTCCGTCATTACTGAGTAGCTCTGGGAGTGGGGCCCTGGCTTTCCAGGTCACTGACCTTTTAATTACAAACCTTGTTCTGATGGCCAGGTTATCGACTGGACAGCTCCCAGCTTGTGCCCCCAGGATGAAAACGAAAATAACTGTTTCCTCCCTCATCTCCAGGAAAAAAAAAATTGTAACCTCATGTGTTTCTAAAATTAATTTTCTCCTTCAGCTTTGCTTTATAATTAATTCTTTAATGTGTCTTAGTAAAGCCAGAGTATTTTTATAACACGGTTTTTTTCTAGAGCTTGGGTCCAGCGGATAGCGTGGAGGGGGCAGGGATGAAGAGTTTGCCAGCTTCCACCCCATGCTCGATCAGGGCCTATCTCCTCGTCCTCAGAAACTCCTGCGGCTGAGCTGGAAAGAACAGTATCAGCTCTGTGAGGGGCTGGTCCAGCCCTTCTGATTCTTTGCTAAACAGACAAGGATTGCGGCATCATGATGTAGATGCATTTCTGCATTTGCTGGAATAATTGAACCTTGCCTATCACAGATGTTCCCATTCTGAGAAAAGACTAGGGTTGGATGAGTTTTCTTACTGAGTCCTAGATCTCTGCTAGTCGTGGGTGACTGGAGGACACAGGGACCTCTGTATGGGATTCTGCTCAGTTAGGAGCTTAGAGCTTGGGTCCATCTAGATTCTCTCTCACTGACAATGAAGGGGGAGAGAAAAAAGGGAGGACAGTGGCCTGTAAATAGGATGACCACGGGTTCTGGCTTGCCCAGGACTGTCCCAGCTTTAACACTGGAATCCCACATCATAGCCTGCC